CAGCAAGATGTCACACTCGATTGCACCACCTTCTTTGCGCTCAAAGTTCCAAAGTGTAAAAAGGTGTGACTTGTATTCGGGGAAAATAAAGCCAGCCTTGCGAATAACGAGAAAACAATGTCCATATCCGCGAATTGTCGCTATTCGTGAGGTTGAACGTACATGTATGCAGTCGAATGGTCACTATTTCGGCGGAAAATGAAAAATTGTCCGGTCAATACAGGATTCCGCTTGGTACAGAGGCCGCAAAACACAGGTTTTTACACAGTACTAACTTTCTTCATCTAAAACAGGACTTCCCTAGAAGTAGAAGTAGAAGTGTTAGCAATACCTCCCACTGCTCATGTTGCCCGCGTCGGAGGCACTCCTCACTGCACTGACCTCAGTCCTCATCTCCTAGCACTACTACCGGTACTACTACATGATTATTATTGTACATGTACTACTACCTGTGCAGGATTATGAATAAGTATCTAATATTGACTGAGTACGTGGTCATTATACTGACCAAGTACGAAGTCAATCTTAGATTTATCACGACTAGCCAAAGCCTGTATTCGATCGCTAAAAAGGAGTCAAATATAAGCGGTCAATGTAACCCTAAAAGGAGTGAAATATGCAGGAATTTTGACTGCTTAGGTATGGCAAAAATCTATGGGAGTCAGTACTAAGGGAGTGATTACGTTAATTATAAGTTCGGTTATATCACATGTACACGATTGTAGTGGAATAGTGTTATGGCTCAGTGAGGTGCAATGCTAAAGTTACAGTTCATGCAGCTGTGTCTGCTAACGCGGCTGACTGGATGTGGACCTAGTAAAAGTCACGTGGCTATGTTTTCTAAAACGTATCAATTGTATTCCGATATATTTACGGACTGTATTACAAGGCTACCGTGTTAGTGGTCAAGGTGGCGATTGCGGACTCGAAGGACGTTTACATTGTACCTCAACATGGCCAACGGTTGATATGGATGGAATCGAAAGAACACGAGGCAGAGAACAATAAAGACCAATATCGTTATCGTGACTCCCAGTTTCGTGTTTAGAAACACACATCAGACTTGGTATCAACTAACTTTCAAGAGTACACAACTCATGTGCTCTTGTTGATATCGATGCTAACTGTCGATAGTCGATCACAGGCGACAACATGCCATTTCAAGCCTTAGTACTAGTAGTAGATACATGATATATGCACATGTATATAGCAGACTCAGCGGAGGACGTTCAGGTTGGTGGTAACTCTGAGTTTCATGCCGCGCTAGGCAATCATCAGACAATTGATACTCGGATCTACCTAGCAGTATGCTTATTACACACATAGAGCCACGGGCATAAACAAATTTAGCGCTAAGTCTGGTGGCGTGAGCTAGTACATGTAACTATAACTGTCTTGTAATTCGGTGGAGACGACGACGCATTTCACCAAGAGTACAGTACTCTTGATTTCCCCTGTTACCTGCTCTAGCTTGTATCCTGCTCCTCAGCTTCCTGTGTATACATGATTGTACAATGTTATGTAAGGATTGATGTGTCCAACCTCTCAGCCTCTCTTGTTCCACAACCTAAGGCTTAGGTCCGCACTCTGTAGCAACTAGTAGTATTACCGAATTTGGTCCGAGCCGAGCGGCAGTGTCATGTCGCCATTCCGTAAAGGTCGGACAGCGCACAGACGGTCTCGCATGGCTGCGAGGCGAGCGGTGTCGGAAGAGATTGCTTCCTGCTCCACCGCGCTGCTTCACCGCGCTGCTTCACCGCGCTGCTTCACCGCATCTACCGCATAACTATTTCAGCATGCATGCGTTTGAAGCTTGATCTGTAGAGTGATGCATGATTAGACTGGTGGAGGGACAGCCGCGAACATGTGTGTGTGTGTGTGTGTGTGTGTGTGTGTGTGTGTGTGTGTGTGTGTGTGTGTGTGTGTGTGTGTGTGTGCATGATCTGTTCTTGTGTCCATATTTGGTCAAGGCGTCATGAAGAAAAGCCTTTGCTGTTCACTAGTTGGGCCAGACACAAGGCAGACAGTTTGCGGATCAGACCAAACAACTGTCGCGGTAACAGGGTCTAAACAGCTACTGTAAGACCTGGCGAGGCGACCACTCGAATAAGGCGATCACCTGTTCTAGAAGACCACTGAAACCAGGCCGGACCAAGGGATGCTATTTCCAGTCAAATGACCCTGGATAAGGCGACCAACAGTGACCACATTTTGAAGGTCCCTTGAGCGGTCGTCTTAGACAGGTTTCACTGAATCACTGTACAAAGTCATGTACCTGTATCTGTAAATAATCTACGTGGAGATAAAAGTTTAATAATAGCTATGAAAAGTATGAATGCCGCAGACATCACCACGCAACATGACACTTTGTTCAAGGTTTGGTTTTGTGTGTTTCCAAAATCGATTTTCAAGCTCCGATCATCAGTGGAAACACGGAACTAAAGTGATCAAGGGAAAAACAAAGGTTAAAAATCCAAAGAAGTGTGACACATGACGGGTAACTTGTGGTAAGTATTACAAAAAGTGAGAACTAAGATAAAGAGTAAGTGTGACAAACGGGCATGAACAGTGCAGAAACAACTCATGAACACGGGGTGCAAACTCACGAAAATAACCTAAAGTGCTAAAACATGTTCTTTTTGTTTTGTAAGAAGTCAGCTGTGTACTTGCATTTGTTATCTCGTCCCGATTGTTTGAGTGTGTATGACGATTCCCACTTCTCTGTACTGTGTCGTGCCCGTTTTGTCCAGCAGTTGAAGGTCCTTGAAGCTGTTTGTATTCGTACGCATAAGCGCGATTTGTGTAAGCAAAAAGAACATGTTTTAGCACTTAGGTTATTTTTTTTATTTTCGAACAATTTTAGGCATTGGCGGATAATGCTTGAAAGGTGGCAGATTCTGTTCGAAAAGCAGTGAAATTGGCAGAACCATACAAACCTTATGGCGGGCAATTCCTCGAATTCTGCTCCATTTCTTTATCCACATACCAAACATGCATGAAACTTACCGGAAAAGGTACCGAATTCTGCCAACTTTTCTGCCGGCATTATCCGCATAATGCCTATTGAGCGGTCGTCTTGAGACAGGTTACACTGAATCCCTGTACACAGCCATGTCCCTGTATCTGTCCGAACATTCAACCATGCAGACAAAATTAATCATTCGGATTTCCTTCAGCCCTGTGGGCACAATGGAACAAAAATGGAACAAGTTATTTTGTTGTAACTCTGGAGTTAGACGCCGAAGGGCGGTTGTTAGATAACAATAATTTATTTTTGTTTTCTCTGATGATCGCCCTCTGCCTGGCTTTGGCGTAAACCTGGGAGTTACAATAAACAATCGTATTGTAAGTTAAAAAGTCGGCGTGGAGGCAAGAAACCTAATATCGATGAAAGAAAAGTGAGCGCACTCATACCTCGAGAACAATGGAACAATATTTTTAAGATTTGAACGTCGTGTTCATGTGATTATCATCTGAAATCATCATCAGAGTGAGAGTTGGACTACAAAGGAAAGTTTCCTTTCATCGGTAATGTAAGTTAATAACAATGGCAGTTCGCATATCACTCATCGCATGAGGTCAACGCATGAGGTCAACGCATTTGTTGACAATTTCGAGACAAGCAGTTCTATCAGAAGCAGATTGCACAGCATCCAGAAGCGATGTAAGTTATGCAGATTATTTTATTCATAACATTGTTATGACTAATAATCTGCATGCGACATGACGTTTAATAATACATACATTGCTGCGAGTGCGAGTATGCAATTATTGGCAGGCCAAGGTGGAGGATGTACTGCTTTGATAGGTTAACGCACCCACTACTTATGATTGTGTTGTGATACGCAGTCAACATCATGAAACTCTCACGTGACTACAGCTAGATGTACCGGTACATGTAGCAAACGAGGTTCGCCCCCCCCCCCACCACCCCCCCCCCCCCCCGGTGATCAAGCATTATTATGTACATATGCGTGTAGTCGTGAGGTTTACCACCTCACCCTCGCCGTTTATGGCGCTGCATGTGCCACCCTGGTATGATCAGGAATGGCGGTGGCCAATGGCCATAAAGCACTATGTGTGACAAGGACACTACAAGACACGGTTTGTATAACACTGGTTAAAAACCAGTACATATAATGTATTAGATAAACCTTGTTATAGTTCACGCAATTGTTACTCCACCTTGTTTCATGCTGTCAATCTAACACTCGTGACTCGTGTACTTGTACAGTAACCCTATGTGTTTATAAGCATACTGTTGGGTAGACCCGAGTATCAGTTGTCTGCACAGTAACACCTGGACCTAACGACCACCCCTTGGCCTTGGGGCCAGAGAAAGTGGTCTTTAGTCCATGGCAGGTGGTCCTTGGTTAGAGGTGTGCACCGCACAACCATGTGAGACCGCCCGTGCCAGGTAAAGTGGCCGGTAGTACCAGGCTGGTCGCTAGTCACGGTGGTCTTTAGTTACAGGTTTAACTGTAGTACCAGGCTGGTCGCTAGTCACGGTGGTCTTTAGTTACAGGTTTTACTGTAGTACCAGGCTGGTCGCTAGTCACGGTGGTCTTTAGTTACAGGTTTTACTGTAGTACCAGGCTGGTCGCTAGTCACGGTGGTCTTTAGTTACAGGTTTAACTGTAGTACCAGGCTGGTCGCTAGTCACGGTGGTCTTTAGTTACAGGTTTTACTGTACATGACGTACTGATCTCCCTCAGCATCGGCACATCATCAACTGGATCACTACTCGTTCAAATCCAGTACATGCAGTAGTGCTAGTGCTACCGGTAGTCTGGTGCAGTAGCTCGAGGGTCCAGCGCAAAGCTTCCCACAGATGTGCCCTGCTGTGTGTACGACCGGGCGCACCTGCGCATGGACAGTCAAGCGCGACTACTGTAGGCCAGCGTATTATTATTAATTTTTATTCTCTCTGCTCCGCGCGCAGCACACAACGCGGGTCGGGTAGGATCCGCGGTCCGACCGACGTGCAACGCGTAGAGTCTACCAGCTCAGCTAACACAATCCGGATCGTCTCCACTGCCACCAGTACTGGCGTAACGCTCCGCTGTGACTTGCTCGCGCTCCAGGTCGTTGTATTTCAGTAGCAGATTCGGAAAACCGGCCATGTAGCACGATCAGTTGGCTGAAGATCGTGACTACGTGAAACTCGGAGTTGCAACACCGCTTCCCCTCCCTCTCTCCCTTGCGTAGCACACAGGTATTAGTATTGTCTGGCATTTGCAACGACATGAGAAACCCAAGCAAAGACCAGCTTAGCTAATCTCGTCGTTTAGGCGGCCATCGTCCACACTGGCATAGTCAGTGCAGTCGTGTCTAGGGGAGTTTCTAGTCCTAGCGCGGTCGTTCCGTGCTGGAGTCTGCACCACAGTCAGGAGTCTGCACCACAGTAAGGAGTCTGTGCCGCAGTAAGGAGTCCGTACCGCAGAAAGAGGAGTGAGCGTGTATCGAAGGTAAGCTGGCAATCCGATCTCCTTGTCTGGCAATGGCGTTCGTTACGTGCTTGCACACTCATACCCTGAAGTGGTGATATTCCGCATCAGTTGGGAAGCAAATCAACCGCGGTGCCACTCGCGGCTAACCAATAGTGTTACGCGAGCTAATTATAAACTACGCAAGAGGTACACAAAAGGAAGTAAATAGGGCTGTTTTTTTGTTGTAACTCAGAGTTTCATGGCAAAAACCAATCATCAGACAACTCTGAGTTACAACAAAAAACAGCCCTATTTACTTCCTTTTGTGTACCTCTTGCGTACTACGCTCTGCCCATTCCGGGCATTTGAGCACTATTGCAGGTTTAGGCGCACAGCCTCTGTGTAATTATAAACTATACCACTTCCAACGCCTAACGTTAGAGTGGCGTTGCCTGTAAAGGAATGATTATGTGTTGATGGCTAATGCCTTTCTGCTACTAGTAGTTTTTACTTCACCGTGCAATCAGTAATAAGTGGCCAACAGTCTAGGCTTAGCTCCGAGGCCGTTGATAGTGCGGGTGCTAACTACTAAGTGTCACCCGGGTCCTCTCTACACCTCAGCTATAGTTGACGCTGTCCGACCACTCTATCCTGCATACCAGGAGCACACACTATTTTTTTTGTCAATTGTGGGCATCCTAGCTCTTACAACTTCTTTGCTCTTCGACCTTGTGATACTAACATACATAATTCTGTGGAAATGATCCGAATTCTATTTCCTTGGCGCCGCTTTCTTTGGATTGCAGTGGGAGCGCTGCTGAAGTACAGTGCTAGCACCTGAAATCCTACTTGTACCCCCTGAGCGGCGGTGCGTTCACATTGCAAAGACCCGGCATGGGATTGTAACACTACCAAATAGAGGCCGCTGGAAGGTGAACACAGTGCTCAGGGGTCGGGTTTCAGTTGCCACCTGTTTATCAAAGTCAGTAGTGTCGTAGGAACAGCAATAACCTACACGTATCCGAAATGTACACAATCAAGTCCACGTTGAAGTTGGTTGGTTGGTTGGTTTATTTTAATTCGCACAATAAACGGGATCTAGGCCCAATGATATAAAGGCGAATGGATAAGCCGCGAAGTTGCTTCCTTAGTTTGTTTACTTAAACATACACATGTACCTTCAGCCAATGACAGTGCCCGGGACAACGGAAGAATATAATGTAGCAGAAGATGCCAAGCGCGTGGAATCGGAGGAGTTGCTGCAGATAGTCCAGATGTGCGACTGCTAAATCCCCACGACGCAGCTCACCAGATCAAGGTGTGGGTCCTCTGCACTCAGTGGAGTCAAGTCGAGCGAGCTGCAACTCCCGGTGCCGAAAGGCGGGCTAACGGCCCTACATGGCTACTTCCCCTTGTCTAACCCCCAAGACGAAAATTAATGATAGTAGCCGACTGGCCGAAATTAAAAAAAAAGAAAAAAAAGAAAAAAAGATAGTCCAGCAGTTTGGATATACAGTGGACCCGTGCGAATAACGACTCTGGAGCAGACTGGCACGAGACACGTGTTGCAATGTTATGCGCGAGTGGCTCGATTGTTACTTGCGAGGTTAAACGTATTCAGTCAAGTGGTTCCTTGGCCTGAAGAATTCTGATGTTATTCACGATCTGTTATACATGTATCCTGAAAAACTTGGACGTTGAGCCAATAGTGATATTAATTATGCAAAGAGAAAAGGACCTATAAGTTACTAGTTACGACTAATAGTCCACCAATGTAACGAGATAATATACAGGCAGATAGTGCGACAACAAGGCACTACACTGACAAGGATATTGAGACATTCAACTACCTGGCACCTAGTTCGAACACATCTACGAAGCGCAAATCAACAACCTGCCAACTTGGAAGGCTCATGGTCATAACTAGTAACTTATAGGTCCTTTTCTCTTTACATGCTATATCCTACAGTGTAGGTTGATATTCGTGAGTTTGTAATTTTATATCCGAATGCAAATTATCTCATTCCGATTCAGTTGTTGTCCCCTGCCCGGTAACACCGTCACGTATGAAGGAGGTTTCGCTCTGTTCTCTCAGATCATCATCGTCATCAGATGTTGCCTGAAGACTATCGTAGGCATGAGCCTCCTACGGCTACGGCTCTTCGAAGCAACTAAATTACTTATCCCGAGTAGAGTGGTGTCTTGTCCTCTTTACCGGCACGTGCAGTCACCATGCGCACAACTATCTGTACATGACGTGTGTAACTTAGGGAAACGATAATATTATGACTACCGATGAAAACAAGAGCAAAAGGAGCTACATGCATGATTGTATATGATTGTACTCTTGCCGGAAGAGCGGTTTCACATCATAGTCATGTCACTGAAGTTGTGTAGAAAGTGATGATGGTATGTACATAGTGGACTCAGTGGAGCCAACATGGCCGACATCACGTGACCCATGGAGGCGAGGATTGAGTGGAGCTAGAACCGTTATGGCTGTCCTGTATGGTCATGTGATACTGATCGATGTGAAACCACTCTACTAGTATTCAAGAGTAAACGTTACGAATGCTTTGGGTGGAAACTGATACATATTCCAGGAAGGTGTAGTCCAAATTCAAGGGCGTCGGAACCGCACCGGCCGGGGCGGCCATGGCCGCCCCACTTTTTCGGCGTTTTTTTTTTAGCACACTGCAACAAAGCGCGATGATCTCAGCGCAAACGTGGCAAATCCTTGTCCCCGATCGTGGTTTGTTGCAGAATCAAAAGTCCATGTACACTGAAATGGCACCAAATGCCCGGAAATGCTTGCAATTGGCTTCAATTTTTGAAATTTTTTCCCGGGGGACGACCCCTGCACCCCCCCCCCTTCCATGGCCGCCCCACCTCCAAAGTCGGTACGACGCGCCTGAAATTGTGTGTTCTGTATAAGCGTGCAGGCTGAAATTAAACGTCCCATTGCTCTGTGGTTTGTATTCAGGTCGGCGGAACTAACTGCCGCAGGGACATTCGTGCAAGGCGTGGTTGAGACTCACAGTCCGGGACAAGCATGGCAGGTATGGTGGGATGATGTACACTATTATTAAAGTACAATAAAACCTGTCAAGGCGACCGCTCGGATAAGCCGACCCCCTGTCTTAGAAGACCACTCAAACCAGGATCAAGGGATGCAATGTACACTCAAATGACCCTCGATAAAGAGACTACCTGGGAACAGAGACCACATGTTGAAGGTCCCTTGAGCGGTCATCTTTGACAAGTTTCACTGCACGTCTGTATGCTGTGCTGTTGTGGCTTTTGTTTTGTTTTTGTTTTTAGAACTTTGAGTTGAAAATTTGTGAACACTTGGGAAAAAATATTCATTGTGTTTAATTTTCCCATAAAGGAGGCTATGCATGTACGGGATGGGGACGGTGTACATGTACGTTCGCATCAACTCAAGTATACTGCACTATTCTGCCGGTTTCTCTCCCGCCGGTATCCGCCATGGGCTGGCACAGCGTGTGTCTGACAGGGACTGTTCTAACTTCAGAGCAGCAGGGCCCCGCCACCACTTTCCGCATTCATTCGGGAGCATAGTGGACTTATATATTATTATTATTACTTGCATGCACGCGTTGGAGTCAACCATGCAAGCATGATCCACAGCTTCGCTTATGCTGAACATGATAAACAGGACTATGACAGGGAAAAAATGAGCTAGTGGACTTAGTAAAACAAAAACAAAACAAAACGTCTAACACTGTCTGACCTTGTCGTTGGTGTTTTGTGCGTACATGCAGAATGCAGCTCCCTGTATGCAGCTATCGGTTTTTTCTCCCGGCAGCGTCCACCAAGGGCTGGTACATGTACGGGGTGTGTCTGACTTAGACTATTCTAACACAGTGTGACTTTGTCGTTGGTGTTTTGTACGTACATGTACATGCAGAATGCGGTGCCCTGTACGGAGCTATCGGCGTGGAGACGGCTCTACTGCTGGCCGCAATCATTGTCATCGCTCTACTCGCCAGGCAAGTGACTCTACTGAAGAGGGCACTGTCGGCGACGTCAGACCCGGAGAAAGACGGCGGTGGGCGCGGGGCTGGCACCACGGCCGCGGTGTACTCAGACCAGGTTACCGAGATTGGTGATGGCGAGACGTCTCAACAAGCGAGCCTTTCGGTGAACACCGCCGCCGCATCAGCTAGTGTTGACCTCGACGAGGAAGTAAACAAATCTGGCAACCAGAACGAGCGCAAACTACCCAGCACTAGACCTGCTCCGGCAGTCGTACCTCAGCCACCGCAGCGAGCACGCTCGCACAGTGTCGACAACGTCATCGAGCGGAAGACGTCCGAGTCCGCTTCAGCGCCCGCAGGCAAACGACCAGCCAACGTCAGGATGGTGAAGTCGTCAGGACGGAGACAGTCCTCGCATAGTGACCTCACGGTTCAGGGCACACCGCCTGCACTACCCCCTGACCAGCACAACCAAGCCACTCCGGATCTCCAGCAATCTTACCAGAACATGGCGCTGAACTCCACTCGGCCCGTCTCTTGCGAGCTCGCGCCCAGCAGGAATATGAGCAGTGGGACGTCGTCTGGCAAGCAACCGGCAGCCAGTCATAACACTGTTACCATAACATCCAGCATACGGTCTGACGATTTCAGCAGCCGCCCAGTGCCGGCGCGTGCATTGCCATCCAACAGCATCAGCAGCAGCAGCAGCACTGCGGCGAATCCGCAGGAGATGCAGCGCTCGGCCAGCGTGGGGCAAGCTGCAGCTCCTATCAACTACACCATGGTGGAGCTCAAGGCAGCGCCGACAACACAGAAGCAGCAGCAGCAGCAGCGGCCCAGCATGCTGGCGGCTCCACCATCACAACTGCCCACCCTCTATACAGATGTCGTGCTGAAGACTAAGTGAAAGCAGAACGCGGCCTGCTCTTGGCATCCACTCCACCTACAACACCACCTCGTGTCGTTCATGATTGGCTGGCTTCAGACTAGTAGTAGTGCTGGCAACTGAAATCCGACCCCTGAGCAGTGCGTCCACATTATAGCGGTCTCTATTTCGTAGTTTTACTATCCCATGTTGGGTCTTGGCAATGTGAGCGCACCGCACCGCTCAGGGGGTCGGATTTCAGTTGCCAGCACTGTAGTAGTGCGGGACATGCGGCCGCTAAACACCGGAAGAGTCCAGTGATGGCGGCGACGATGGTTCAGTGATGTCACCGTATGCGTTTGTCGTCCCATGTACTAGTGGTCAGCTGATCAGGCGGTTGCCGATACTGCAGCCATGACAACCCACTGATGGGCTGGACCTGGGTACACACATCGGAATATTATCATGCGGTCATTATTATTAAACGCATGAATCACATTAATTTTTTTAGTTTGCCTGGTAGCTGTCTAAACACGAAAAACGTCAGAGTTCGTCAAACATACATTGAACACATTTTTAAATGATACATGTGCGGCCATCGATAGATGTGTGTTTTGCATTGATGATTGGAATACTGCTGTAGAACATATTCCGGGACTAAGACATAATCTGACGTATGCAAACCAATTCCAATGACCAATGTCTGCATTGATTATAGTCTTCACTGCTCTGATTAAATGGCAATGGCGTAATTATAATGCTTGTGACGATACCTTTCTTGTGATAACGTTAGAGCAACGTCAGGCAGAAGTGATGGAGGACTATCAAAATCATAAAGCGAACTAGCAACCCACAGTCTAGCATGGTAAGAATGGAACTCGTTAAACACATCATCAGGATTATATGGCGTGTTTCCTTTCCATGCGAGTGTCTGGCATTCTCATTCTATGGCAGTGCTCGCTTCGTTGAATTTCGCTGCATTTGAGTAGGGTTCCAGTTTCCTTATCACATTCTTCCTTTCACGCAATTGTTATCACTACTTGAATTGTGTTCTACTCCTCCGTAAATTGCAAATTGTGTTTTCATCAGGATTTACCAGTGAATCAGTTACTGATGTGCATGCATGACTCAAGCAGGTCAAAACGTGGCAGCGATTCGTTCTGCATTCATTTTACGATTTGTGCCTAGCTTCTACGTTGTGGGGCCCACATTTAATACGTCCACCCCCACAATTTCCAATATTTTCTTTTTGTGTAATGATAGGCATACTGGCGATAATTAAATTCTAGGTTTGGTTCAGTCAATGAAGTGTTGCCAAGGACAGTACTTTTCTAAATCATCACCAGCTACAACTAGCAGTTGAGTGGTGGTTGACATTAAATTTTGTTGTCAACCACCACTTCCGCATCATGCACCGATTGCTACTGTAACAAAAACAGTAGAAAGATAGTGTATGTATGGGGGAGGGAGCATGGGAGAGATAGAGATAGAGATAGATCGATAGATAGAGAGAGAGAGAGAGAGAGAGAGAGAGAGAGAGAGAGAGAGAGAGAGAGAGAGACGGGGGAGGGATGGAGAGAGAGAGATCATGGGGGCCCTCTCACCTGGCTCTCATCGCCATAGTCACACTATCACCGTTATTCCTGTCACTAGCTAGACTAGTAGTCTACTACGTATCCTCTTCATTCCTTCCTCCCTCCTCGATCCTCCTCCTTCTCATCCCCGCCTTCTAAAGAACAGGAAGCTGTCATCATGTGAAGTTCACCCACCGTCCGTAGAGGGCTCAGTTTGCCGAAAGCAAAGAGTGGAATACACGGACAGAAGAACGAGCAGTTGTTTGTTTCGTAGTCTTGGCTGCTCCTAGATCCTAAGGGTTGATGGTGTTTCTGCGGATGCCGAAAACTCGGCCTCCAGCCGAATCTCACGCGAACCGTGATTTTTGGCTGCTCCATCGTTCAAGGTATGGGGCGGCGGTATGAGAGTCCTCAACCGGGTAAGGGAGTAGTTAACCATGTGAAGTTCATCCACCGTCCGTAGAGGGCTCAATTTTCCGAGTGCTCAACCGGGTAAGGGAGGAAGGAAGCTGTCCTCGTGTCTCCATCCCTCCCATCTACAAGTGGGTGTTTTTAAGATAGCTTGTCCCGTCGTCGAACACGAATGATAGCCCTACCTGCAGCGTACAAAGCAGGGTGTGGTAGCTGGATGCGTTAGTATTTAGTGGCTAATGACTTCGCCAACACTCGCGGTCGACTGGGCAGAGGTCTGCTCACGACTAGGACTAGGACTACTATAGGACTGAGGGTAATATGGATGCAGCTAGCTAGCGAGCTTTCGCTCTATTGCCTGTCACGGGTTGTGAGATTTTTAAAGCCTCACCCTTGCGGCTAGGCGCTTCATCTTACACTTACAGACATTGGTGGCTTGGGTCGTCGCAAGTAGCTGGTTAGTTGAGGCGAGCGAATGAGAGGGTAGACCTCTAGAGCTCTACATTACTCATTAGACTACAATCATGTGGGTACGTACATCCACATGATTTTGCTGTCTTGAAAGACAGTGTAGAATCGAATCATAGCGCCCGGGCCAGGGAGTCATAGACCGGTCTATACGACTCCCTGGCCCGGAGTAACGGGGTAGATCTACACGTGTGCAGGCTCTTTATTTATTTTTATTTTTTGCAGAAAACCGCACTTTCGGCACACGCATTCCGGTATCGTCGCGGGGTTTTCAGATCTTTTCTGTGGGCAGGGCCGATCGCATGCGCAGTCGGCACTTTTAAAGTTTTATCTTTAGCACTCGCACCTGCCCTTGTTTCGCACATCACTCGAAGCCGATACCAAGTATCAGTGAGAGCATTCCGTCTTCGACACCAGTCGTCGGTTGATCAGGTTGTAGTGTGTTTTGCGTAGTTCAGTCTACGAGTCATTTTAGGAGGGGACGTTTGAATAGAGTGGACGTTTCGGTTTGTGAAAAGCATCACGATGTTGTCTCGCTTGCAAGTGCTCTTGGTGGTGGTCGTGGTCACGGCGGGGATCCTGGGAGGTCGCTCGGTGCAGGCCAAGACGCTGTACCTTAGCGAATGCACCGGAACGGACGCTCAAAGGTAGGTGTGCTTTCTAAACTCACATCACATGGATACGAATGGTTGTAGGAAACACGAAGTAACACGCTAGCTCGGATTTTCAATGGTAGGAGAAGAGAGAGGGTGGTGGTTTGGCAGAAAATGAATGGGGTACTTCAACCTTTTTTCTTATGTCTTGCGAAATTCCAGACAGGCGGGAGCTGAGCAAAAATTACAGGGAATGAAAATCTTTGCATCCAAGTGTCATGTGATAATTTCCTTGAATGATGGCCAGCAGGTTTCCCTAAAGGTTTTTCGATTCCCTGCTTTTCTATCGTCAGAAAGCCTATCCGGAACGTGTGCACGTGGTAGTGTAGTCCGTAAGACGGTACGGTTGGGATAGTGAGCCCTGGTGATTACTGTGTATGCCCCTACACTGCAGATGTGTGTGTGTGTGTGTGTGTGTGTGTGTGTGTGTGTATCACTATGTGTGTGTGTGTGTGTGTGTGTGTGTGTGTGTGTGTGTGTGTGCATGTGTGTGCATATGGGCATGTACGTTACGTGCGTCTGTGCATGTCTATGTGTGCTTGTGTGCTCGCACTAATCCATGCATGTTTCTACATGTACGTGTCTCTCACTCTACATGTTCATGTAGGTGGGTATACCGGCCTGGACCATTCGTACACAACACTCTGATCCGACTGATAGCTGCACCAGACTGGTGCATGGTACACTACATCATAGCACAGTAAGTTGTGCCGGACAGTAAAGGTACATGTACGGAAATGACATTGACCTTATAACTGGGTTCTACATTTTTGCTTTTCAGAACAACAAGGGCAATAAAGGCTCGTTTGCTGCTACTTCAAGTTTCATGCTCTCGCAATCATCAGGCAACAGTGGCAATAGGCAACATTCCATCTTTTCATATTCACTGCTGAGGACGTCATGTGTACCCTCTATAATTATCATACATGAAATCAAGAGTACAATCATAACCAAGAGTGTACAGCTCGACGATCCCCCAGCCCACGGCGGAATTTTTTATGACATCAGTCTTTGGCGGCGATTTGGCTCACTGATGCCAGCATGCGTAGCCAGAGATCAAAGTACAAACATTAATAATTTGTACATTACAGCTACGGTAGTCGAAGCAGAACAACGGACGATAGATCGATGTGTCCTGAACCTGGTGAACTCTCACCATATCTACAAAGCAAGCGCGGGAAAGCATACCCACTTCATCATACTGCTGCCAAAGAATGACGCAATAAAAAAATTCCGCCGTGGGTGAACCCATCATAGCTCAAGATAGGAGTTGCACACTCTTGGTTATGTACTCTTGATAAAATGTAATAGGCTATCGGGACAAGTCAAACACTGCTTCTGCCTGTCCTGTGTGTTGTTGCTGCTGCTGCTATGGCTGATTGCCCTGGTGTAGGCAGGCAAACCAGAGTCTGTACGCGGATCTGTGCGACATACCCGAGCCCACGCCGCAGGACTACAGCGCGCGGATATGGGTCATGATCAACGGAACCATCCGTGTAAGTCTAATTGCGTTTGCCCAGTGTTGACTCCGACACCCACGGTCGGACAAGCTGTCCAGGCCTCACCACCACTGCCGTTTCCGTGCTGCCTTTTCTATACATACGCATGTACACCGTATAACTGATGTGCACATTCACAAGTCTGAAGGCTTGTGGGTTAAAAAAACCAAAAAAAAAACAAAATGAAATCACATTCCTGCCATGTCCTATATACAGTTCACCGCTACCCATTCTTGACCTGTACTTGCATGATGTTTAGAAGACGAAAGAAATGGTTGCGCTTCTCTCGGAAGACCCCACAGTGTCAGCTAGTGAGGACTAATGAAAATCGAGCCAGTTGTGAAAGAAAATAGGAGAAAACGGACAAGACGAACAGAGGTACGCTTCATACAATTGTGGTAGACAGGGACAAAATGTTACGAGTTATGACTAACTGCCCCCCAATGTAACCAGATCATATACAGTCAGCGAGTTCACACAATTGCTGTGCATTTCAAATCTGAAGTGTGGCTGCATTTTCTGGACTCTAAGCCAAGAAGCCCTTGATGGTTTGTGCTGTAGAGAGGACCTAATTATTGCATTGCCTTCTTGTACTTCTCTCTCTCTCTCTCTCTCTCTCTCTCTCTCTCTCTCTCTCTCTCTCTCTCTCTCTCTCTCTCTCTCTCTCTCTCTCTCTCTCTCTCTCTCTCTCTCTCTCTCTCTCTCTCTCTCTCTCTCTCTCGCTCTCTCTCTCGCTCTCTCTCTCTCTCTCACATTCTCCCTCTCTCTTTCTCTTTCTCTCTCCGAGTCTCTCTCTCTCTCTCTCTCTCTCTCTCTCCTTCCCTCTCTCACATTCCCCCTTTCTCTTTCTGTCTTCAGGTTGCTGGTGATGAGTACTGTCTTGCAGCTAATGTCAGCGGTGACCAGGGAAACCTCTCGTTGGTTCAGTGTAACCAGACAGTACACACTGCTGTTGCTGCTGGTGCAGTGGCTGAAGATCTTGCCATGACAATCACCTGGCAGTGGAAGTAAGACAAGGAAAGGTAGATGTGTAGGGGAGTTATGGGGTGGGTGGGTGAGTGGGATGGGGGAGGTGTGTGTGTGTGTGTGTATGTGTGTGTGTGTGTGTGTGTGTGTGTGTGTGTGTGTGTGTGTGTGTGTGTGTGCATGCGTTCCGAACCTACTTGAAATGTGGAAACTCTGGGTGTTGGACCTGTTCCCCCATATCTTTTTACAATGGTATACCTGTCAAATTGTTGTAAAACCCTGGCCGAACTGGTGTGTGGGTATGTGGGCATACATGTGTGTGTGTTTGTGTGTGTGTGTGTGTTTGTGTGTGCACGTGCATGCGTGCGTTCCTGTCTGTGTGCCCATTCATGCGTCCAGCGAGACAGGACTGATCATGCCTCTGGGCACGACACCTCCGCTGTAAGTCGGGATGGCCAGCACTGAAGTGCATGCATACATGTTACTGCAAGGGCGAAGCAGCCAGTCCGGCCGGTCCGGCTTTGGCGGACCACTTTTTTTACACAATGCCAAAAGTAGTAAGAATGCAGGATTTTGCACCCTAAGTTCAAAATTTTCCCGGGGGACACCCCCAGACCACCTCCAACAGCGGTGCTACACGCCTGTACTGTACTGTACTGTACTGACATGTACCGTATTTTACCGGTTGTAAGTCGACCCCGGTTATAAGTCGACCCCTGCATCCGGAGGTCTCAATTCTGCGTTTTAAAGTTTTCACCCAACGAAGCATTACTAACCACTCCCTGCTACTAACACATTAACAAATCATGTAAACATTCCTTATTGGAGAGTATAACATCCCAATCCTTGAAAAAATGCCAATAAACTGGCAAAAATGTGTACACATGGTGCACTCGTGCATGGAGTGCAGGTCATCTTTTGTAAGATACTGATAGTTCCCGGTTATAAGTCGAATCCCGGTTGTAAGTCGACCCCCACCCTTTCTCCTTCTATTTTTAGTCGTAAAAGGTCGACTTACAACCGGAAAATACGGTACCCCTGTTACTGACCTACATCAGCTGGTCACATGATTGGTTGCATTGTTGAAGCGACACACCTAGTGAGTTCCGCAATCACGCATGGGACTACACCGCCACAGTTTATTATGACGTAGGCCATCTCCGTGGACCAGGGTGATCCCTGACAAAAAAAAATGGTTGAGCTGTGGCCACTCGTCAAGAATTATGATAACGATCTGCTTTCTTAGCAGGACAGGAAGAATAGGTACCAAGGAGGGCTGGCATACCGTAGTGCAGGACACGGTGGGGAATTGGGTATACGTGTCTTAATATTTTGGTATGCTCTTTGGTGGTAGTATGCACGGTGTACTGTGCTCGACTTGACATGTGGTACCCACTTACCGTCATGAACAGCAAGCCCGGGGGCAAGTTCACAAAGTTTCGTGCATTTTTCCGATGAAAATGAGCAGGGACCGTAATTCGATGAGTTTTTGACGGACGTATTTAAGATGAGTTGGCTGCAGTGGAATCTGCGCAACCCCCCCCCCCCCCCAAACAAAGACTATTATCTATGGTACTATAAAGTACATGTACCTGTAAGCGCGTGCACCAGGTCGTATGGACATGGCCGGCCAGAGACAGTGCCCCAGCAAACAAACACCTGTGTACTGTGCTAGTAATGGAGAGCTGTACTGACAATAGACTGTATTCCTCTCTTGCTGCTCTCCCTCCGTGCAGATGTCTGACTGTTAACATGTCATCGCCGACTCCACCCCACCACGGCGGATTCCCGGATGACTTCAATGTCATGTCTGCCAAGTGTGACACAACTGACAAGGTATGGGGAAAGCAGAGACAATGCTCTTCATCATTGGACTACAAGCCATGCCAAGTATACGTATAAGCTTAGACAAAAGAAAAGGACCAAGGAACTACAAGTTATGCTAAAATGTCCACTAACACCACCAGTCACTAAATAATCAGCTCATGGGATAACATTTGCACGACACTGACCGACGGTACTGACGTTCTACAACTAACCGGCTATCAGCTCTAGCACGCCTTGGATGCGCACTCCAACTGCCTTCCAACTTGGAAGGTTCTAAGTTATAGAAATAACATGGGAGGGGAAGGTGAGCGCAACCAAGACAAGCACGAGCTGAATGTCTGAGCTGTGAAGGACGTTGGCGGATGTACATGCATGTCGATGACGATACCGGCAAGACAGTATAAGTAGAAGTATTCGGGGTCTGTTCGTTTGGATTGGGCAGGATATTGTGGGCTTTTCTGTTGTTGTTTTTTCTACTGCAAATTCACCTGGACTGCCTATTCGATTTGCTGCCAAAATCCTTTCGCAAAAGGCTCAATAGTATTAGCACTGGGTTTTAAACAGGTTTCTACAATCAGGGCATGTGTGTGTGTGTGTGTGTGTGTGTGCATGTGCGCGTGCGTGAGTGCACGTGCGTGCGTATGTGAACGGTTGTGAGTTTGTTTGTCTCTTCAGCTACAAAGGTGGAGTGGCTATCCTGAATCTAATGGGTAGGTGAGCCTTGTGAACATTTACTGATCTCTGTCCATGATGCTGGATGTCCCGCACAAGCCTTCCACTGGTTCCCTTGCTATCAATTGCAACCGCCGATACATGTGTCGCATCTCTGCGCTCTGTGACCGGACCCAGAAGTCACTACGAGCGGCGGATGAATAGACATGTGGCCTCACGACGAGCCCAGGCAATATCTTACACCTGCGTGTTCACGTGTATGCGTTCTGGTGCTTGCGTGTGTGTGTGTGTGTGTTTGTATGTGTGTGTGTGTGTGTGTGTGTGTGTGTGTGTGCATGTGTGTGCGCGTGTATGTGTGTGGGTGTTCGTCACAGCACCATTCATCACATGGCCAACACTAGCTACTGCTTAGCAGCACACGGTCTGTATCCGGGAACACACGGTCCTAATGTTGTCATCTCTCCATGCAACGAGTCCGACATCACTCAGGTATGACCTATGTACTATTCATTGATCTTTTTATTTATTCATTTATTTTTATTTTTGCAAAGACCACTTAAAAAAAATGCCAAACATGAGCTGCAGCTGGGGAAGCACGCACAACATGAATCGTGGCAGTGGTGGTGAAGTTTAGGGAGCTCCGCCGACCTGGGGTCTCGACTTCATGGCCACCTAGAGGCACTGCTGGCACGCTCTATACCATAGTCACTGCCAGCAACTAGGGAATTGTTTTGGAGCTTGGCACAATAGTATGGGTTTCACCTGGCAACTGCACGCTCATAACCGTTTCACTGCTTCTGGCTGTTTGACCTTGACATGATGAGAAAGAATGAAACAATTACCTGTAGTTGTGTGGCAAGAAGGAGCCGCAGGGGTGCGTGATCCCCCGGTAGCCTATTCGGTAGAGTACTGTCCCGGGGTACTGGGTTCGAATCCCGCGCATGAATCCATTAGAAGTTCTTTAGCAACAGTTGGTTTAATCTTTAGTCATGAAAGTCTTGGTATGTTGCAATACTTCCCACAGTTATAGTACTTGCAATGGCAGCCTGTCATACTATTAGGAAATCTGCATGGGTATTGTGCAGAGTGAAAGAGACAAACAGAAGTCGACATTCTAAGTGTGTTGTTATAGTTACACTTGCATTCATGTCTGAATCACATCTGAATCTCTCCCGTTATTCTCTCTCTCCCGTTATTCTATCTCTCTCTCTCTCTCTCTCTCTCTCTCTCTCTCTCTCTCTCTCTCTCTCTCTCTCTCTCTCTCTCTCTCTCTCTCTCTATCTCTCTCTCTCTCTCTCTCTCTCTCTCTCTCTCTCTCTCTCCCTCTCTCTCTCTTTCTTTCTGCGGATTCAGCACTACTCGCATAACAACAAGACAAATACGATATGTGCCACGACTGAAATGAAGTAAGTCCTGATCCGGGGGATTTTTTTCCTGTGATTAGCATTGAGCAAAATGACAAGTGTTCAGAGATCAACTGACGGTTTGCCGGACTGCACACTTTAGAAGGATTCATCGCCATGACTTGTCGCACTGTACCCAAAAATGACGCAATGACGGAATTCCGCCCAGCGGGCGTTATACTAGGACTGGTCAGGATTTGCACACGGGGGGGGGGGGGGGGGGGGTAACGGAGTACTCCTTATCCCAACACACCATATTTTTTGCGCGAATTTTTGCCAATACTAGCCGGGTCACTTTGCCGTTTGGGAGACCTCGAATTTCACCCGATTTGAAAAAATCCACACAAAAGCCCTGAAATGATGTGAAGCTTATTTCAGACGGTGGTAGTAAAAGACCGGCGCTAGTTTCCGAAAATATGGTACTTCAGCAAGACATGTACTCTGGACAATGTGCGTACTAAGCTAGAGTATGTCTTATCAGTGTACATACTAAAGGGCCGTCGCAAAAGTTTCCTGTCGTCCCTGAAACGAACAACATTCATTTCGTACTCGGACCCCCTCCCTCCCTCTGAAATGAACACAGCTTGCTATGCTGGACGACGAAAATCGCATGCATGTACATGTCATATGTACAGTGTCGGTCGACTTGCGATTTTGGCTCGCACCTCCTCCCCCCCCCCCCCCAAATGAATCATGTTCGTTTCAGGGACGACAAAAAACTTTGGCGACGACCCCTTAAAGTGAGTTCCACTGCATACAAGCTCTGGCATTGTAATAACAGTTGAATGTTGTAAGGTCATCAGGGGCGTAGCTGGTCCTCCTTTTAGGGGGGGGGGGGGGAGTGCACGGCCGCATATCTGTAGGATGACTGGTGCATGTCATTCATGGTCATTCTGTACATGCCCAACCTACTGTAAGGTTACAACTTTTCAGCCCATTCAAATTTCGGCCTCCCAGGGCTAAAACCCATTCAGGCCGTATTAAATTTTCGGCCTGTACTGCTGCCGTCTGTATACACTGTCACACTGAACATTGGAAAACAAAATTCCGCCATAAAAAAAATTCAACCAAACATGACCAGGCCGAAAATAAATAGGCGCCGAATATTTGCAGACGTACAGTACTTGTAGGTCGAAAAATTTAGGGGGAGGGGGGGGGGGGCGGGTGCACGTGCCCCCTGTGCTCCATGTGGGCTACGTGCCTGAGTCAGTGTTGCTGTTGATTGTTTGGCTGGGTGCAGGTGTGGAGGCACCAATATCACTCAATGCTGCATCAATATCGGTCACACCACAACCACACCGGAGGTGAGTCTAGAGCTCTGTATGCTGCATGTCCATGCTATGCGCTGCCTCGTTGCGGCATTCCCACCTTTGTTCACTGGTAGGTGATCTGTGAATCAGCAACAGCCCTCTGTGTGCGTGTGTGTGTGTGTTTGTGTGTGTTTGTGTGTATGTGTGTGTGCATGTGCATGCACGTGTGTGCATCTGTGTGTCTGTGTGTCTGTCTATGTGTCTGTCTGTCGATTCCGTCTGTCAGTATCAAGTCTTGCTTATATTGTGTGGTTCACCTACTGTGGCACATTATGGACTTTTGAGCTGAACCCTGTCGCAGGTGTGTCATCGTCTCTCCCTATCAATCTGTCCTGTTCCTGCCATGCACCATAATTATTATGCAGTGTAAGGTCCGGATGGGTCTGAGCAGAGGCGTCGGAAGGTATTCGACACTGGTGCGGCCATGAATGGGTGGCGCCGGTCTGGGTGTCCTCCCCAGGGAAAGGCTGAGGGAAATTGGGCCCAAATAGCCCATATCATAGTCCATTGCTTCAAGAAGCAAGATGACGTTATTCTGCCGCACCGGTTCTGACGCCTCTGCTGAGAAGATCTTCCTTGCTCATCTCTCATCTGTGATAGCACCTCTGATTATGAAAAGCCCATTGACAGGCGATATGCCTTGAGGGAATTCTTGCAAAACTACTAAAACTTTCAAACTCTCTGTCTGTTCTCCCGGCCCGCGGCTATGTGCAGCCCGGTAACAATATAGAATTGTACTCAAACATGGATGATCCGACAGAAGAGTGGACATATGACCCGACCACCCAGCAGCTGAAGGCCGCCGGCTTATGTATGACCATTGTCAAGTGATTTGCACGGTGAATGCAAAACTGCCTCCACAGGATTGACCCGCGGCATGCAGGTTCGCTCAGCCAGGATGGGTTGTGGGAATCTTTTAGTGACAAGTATTTGAATTTTGAATTTGAACCTGCATCCATACCTTTAGTTCATTACCTCCATTTGGCCTTGCTCAAGGATAGCATCCTTTTAGTTATTTATAACGACTCAGTGTCGATCCACCACAATCATTGCACTGTTCAATTTTTCCAAACATGATTTTCCCGGATTTCGGTTCACGGTTCACTAATTTAATCGCATTGTGCTGCTTGTCACCGCCACCTATACAATGTCATGCAGTACTGCCAGGGAGTCGTAAAATACCGACTCCCTGGCAGTACTGGTATGTGACTCAGTGGCTCGCTGGCAACCCATTCTTCATGTGCATGGTCACGGCCGTTATTCCGAGTCAAGTGCTGCAGGCTAACCAAAGCCGTGCCGTTCCGCTGTGATCATGTGATCAGGAGTAGGCACCGGCGGATTCTGCTCGAAAAGCAGTGAAATTGGCAGAACCATACAAACCTCATGGCGGGCAATTCCTCGAATTCTGCTCCATTTCTTTATCCACATACCAACCATGCATGAAACTTACCAGAAAAAGTACCGAATTCTGCCAATTTTTCTGCCGGTATGATCCGCCGGTGCCTGATCAGGAGTAGTGTGACATACACGTTGATGTTCTCCTGGTGTGAACAGTTTTTTTTATACATAAGCAGAGTCGCCCCCCACACACACGGACCTGCCGAAGAGTGCCCAACACCGTTAAGGTGGAGCTCGTACACACAGTAAGGAGAAAGGAGAACACAAGACTTAGTATACAGTCAGACTTCGCTTATCCGGTCCTCTTTTATCGACAAAAATTGTTGGTTACCGATTTACAGCATATGTCATGCATACATACAGTATGCATGTTCGATTATCCGGTTCCCTCGCCTATCCGGATATTTTGTGGGAAACGGATATGTGCGGTTATGCGAGGTCTGACTGTACCTGTAAACCATCGGTTATTTTCGGTGTTTTATAACTTTAATTTCGGTGAGTTGGGTAGAAAAGCCAGGCACAAGAGTATGCACTGTACATGTATGTGAAGGGAAAGCCGTAATACTCCCTGCTTTTATCAGGCCGAAGTAAGCAATCAAGCACGCCGCAGTCAGGAGGTCATGATGGCTGAATCTTGCCCGAGCTTGCAGCCGAAGGGCCGTATGCTGAATCTTGCCCGAGCCTGCAGCCCAAGGGCCGTATGCTGAATCTTGCCCGAGCCTGCAGCCCAAGGGCTGCAGGCTCGGGCAAGATTCAGCCATCATGACAGACAGAGCGTGCTTGATTTGATTTCTTATAAGTTGTGGCACGAAGCAACATAGTATAGTAGTAGTAGGGAAGGTCAAAGGTCGAGTTATTCCCGAAATGACGTCAAACGGTCCTGAAATTCCCGAAATGACGTCAAACAGGCCTGATCATGCTCGCGGCGGGAAGACCACCTATTGGTAGGCCTCTGCGGAATATGCTCGTATTTTTACCGATAATTCCTTTGAGCATTGCTCAAAATTACGTCCGATAATTCCCGTAATTCCACCTATAATTCTCACAATAATGCTTTTTTTCTTCCCTTTTTTGCAGATACCGTACCGCTTACGGGTTTTTTTGCCACTTGTACGGGCAAAAAAATCACGGTTCACGTGAAACTCGGCTGGAAGCTTTTTTTTCTTTCTCTTTTGAAATACCGGGCGATCAACTCATTCAGGATCACAAGCTTTTTGGTACAAATCAGGGTGTTAAAATGGAAAAAAATTGAAAAAAGGGGGGCATTGCTCAAATTTTACCGATATATTCCACAAAAATTGCCAATAATTCCCGTTTTAAAAATCACACTGATAATTCCCGAAATTATGCCGGCATATTCCGCGGAGGCCTACCTATTGGCCATGGCCCGGGCAACGATCACGTGTCACGCGGAATCGCAATTTTCCCCGGGGACCGACTAGTGCTGACCCGAATTTGCTAGCAATTCTTCTAGCAAAATATCGAAGAATTTTGAAAGGGAATTTGCTGGCAAAATGGAGCAAAATATCGGTGTGTTGGCTGGGAATTGGGAGATTTTACACATATACGGTGCACATGACTCATTTCGGCACAATTTTACCAACACGTGACTCACTTTTTCTCATTTTTGCCAACACGTAACCCACTTTCGGTCAGTTTTCTCACACGTGACACAAATTTTGGAGCAAAAAGGGAGCAAAATATCGAGTGGCCTAGCAAAATGAAAGCAAAATTTCGACGATGCACGAGCAAAATTATGCCGCAAAATATCGAGATTCAGCTGGCAAATTCGGGTCAGCACTAGGACCGACAGGCCTTGATGGGCGCCTTGATGTGCGCGTTGTCATGACTGAGAAGGTGCAGTGCAGGGAGTCGTAAAAATAGTACCACGGTAGTATTTTACGACCCCTGCATGCAGTGTGCTGAGCGGCCGCCTCGGGGGCTCCACATCAGAGCGACCCACTCTCCGAATGGTGCAAAAGTTGTAGATCTGGGAGTGGATTTTCTTGAACAAAATCAGGTTGACATCGTGACCAGGTTCTTTGAGTTCAACAGTTTGGGAAATTCCAGCTTTGTTTGCAGAGAACCCCTGTTCGGGCCGGGCCGGGCACTCTGCATTGAAGTCTAGACGTTCACGCCCGTAGAGGTCTACGCTCGCCAGAAGTAGCAGGTGGACCTGAGTTCGTGACGTCCGCCGTGCACTACTGGAACGAATTAAAAAAAAGAAGAATTTTCTCAACCCATGAGATTGTTATTGATAGGAAAAGCAAACCAGATCGGCATACTAGTGGTGCGTGGGACGTGATAGATACATGAAGGCAAGGTGAAGCTTGTGACCGACTATAAAATTAAACCCCGGAGCATACGATTATGGAGCAAAGGAGTCGTGCTGCCATCAATCATTGACAGTCCCGATTTGGGTTGAGCATTCCAAAAAAGACTGGTCTGCCAATGACGACATAAAGAGCAGCGAAACCGCATGATGACGACACAATGACGTCATAACGATGGAGAATATCGTGTC